GTGTCAGCGTGGGTTTCCTCCAGGTGCTCCGACATGTTCTCCCCGTGTCAGCGTGGGTTTCCTCCTCGTGCTCATACATGTTCTCCCCTTGTCGGCGTGGGTTTCCTCCAGGTGCTCCTACATGTTCTCCCTGTGTCAGAGTGGGTTCCCTCCTCGTGCTCCTACATGTTCTCCCCGTGTCAGCGTGGGTTTCCTCCAGGTGCTCCTACATGTTCTCCCCGTGTCAGCGTGGGTTTCCTCCTCGTTCTCCCACATGTTCTCCCCGTGTCAGTGTGGGTTTCCTCCATGTGATCCGACATGTTCTCCCTGTGTCAGCGTGGGTTTCCTCCAGGTGCTCCGACATGTTCTCCTCATGTCAGCGTAGGCTTCCTCCCACAGTCCATAGACTTGGTTCATTCAAAACTTCTCAGCCATCACAGATATCCAGCATATTTCTGTAGATGTGAAGAACGAGGCCGCAGGAAGAAGAAAACAAACACACCTTTAAACATCCCGTGTTCCTGCAGTAGATTCATCCACAGCGCCCACCACAGTGTCGGGGAACTGTCACAGCTCCTGCACAGACAAGAAGGGTCCTCACAACTATAGTGTTAATGTGTTGGTGGTGGTTTGTCATATTGCACAAGACACACACACACACACACTCCCAGCCCCCATTAATCACCATCCCACAGTCTCTCAGAGCTACAAATGACTCGAGCGCTGCAGAAATCAATCACAATTTATAGTGAGAACATTTCTGAGGAAATAAACAGCTGTGGAAGCAAATCAACAAAACTGCAAAACAATATACGCCTTTCACAAAACCAGGCTTCAGTCAGATGATGAGTGGAGCTGTGAGTGAATTATTAGAATGATTTTAGTGTGCAAAGTAAAGTCCATTTTCACCAGTCTTATTATCTGCAGAGATACTGAGACAATTCATACTCTAATTAAATTTGATTCTGAATGAGAGCAAAGTGGCCGCGAGGCTTTAAAGGCCCACAGTGAGCCTGTAATGATTATTATAATTAAGTCATTGCAACTGTGAGATGCAGGAGGTTGAATGCTCCGACTACAACTGTGCTTTTAAAGACGAAATATGAAAATAAATGGAATTTTCCAACTTTTGAGTGGTGATTAAATTTAAGAATTACCTCGCACTTAAAAGAGAAGTGCTGCCTTTCATTTAAGTTTGAGATGTTTTAAAGTTAGAATATGTGAACATAGTTTTGTTATATTTCTGTTTGCATGTTTTATTTTCATGTCATTCATGTTTAATTTTCATGTTTTCATGATGTTTTCCTGCTGTTAGATGAAAAACTTGTGTTCCAGACTTGAGCAGAAAGTTGAGTTGAGTTTTGTGTCGGTGGTTCTCTCATGAAAAATTCATTGACGACTTGAAAACCATTCTGTTAAAAAAGCCCTTTGTGAAAACATGGGAACAGCAGAGTTCTCAGAGA